CCAGTTTTTTTTGGATCCCGCTGGCAGTTTTTTCCATCTTTTCACCAAAAGGACACACGCATTGCAGATATCTCCTGAGCGAGCTTCATGGAGCCTAACAAGAAAAAACTCTGGTTACAAAAGGCTAAATAATAATCTAATTAGCATACAGATAGAAACAATACATTCTCGGGCTGAGATATTCCAAAGTGACTAGTGATTTTGGTGGCCTCTTTATTTATTTATTTTAATGCCCAGCTTGAGACACTTTAAAAGTGGGTACTCTATAAGGATTCACTACTCGGGATAATCTTGGCTTGACCGTATTAGAACAAATCTCATCCCTTAAAGTTCATTTTGAAGTAATCCTATGAATGCTTCATTCTGCTATTGAATATCTGCTATATATTTGAAAGTTTTTGTCCATCTGTTCGAGAACTCCTCCTGACCAGTAAGAGCGAGGACCACCAAATTCAGTATGAGGCTTCCTCTTATCATAACTTAAAACACGGTGAGGGTTTGTTTGTGCCAGGAAAATGGGATGTGCCTGGAATGGGATTGCTTCTCATAAAGCCATGCAGAATCCCCAAGAAGGACTGCCCCAACCCAAAGCCTTTGACCCCCATTTGTAGGAACATTGCTGGCTATTCCCTTTCATCCAGGAGCAAGGGGAAAGTGCACAGTTTGCTGCATCCCTTACTCTGGCTGGGGTAGATAGGAGGCAGATGAACTTGGAACTGCTCCAGCCAAAAGACATGCACCCCATCCCAGATGTACTCACTGGAGCTGGAAGAGGAGGAGGAGGGGCTGGGCCTGGGCGCTAGGGTTGCCGGTATTTTCGCCTCCTGGCTGGAGGGAGGGGGAGAATTCAGAAAATACTGACATTAAGGGTCTGGTATTTTCTGTTGTTTTTTTTTACTGGACTGGAGGCGAAAATACCCGATACCTGGCAACCCTACCCACTCCCCCAGCTCCACCCCCATCCCAGAGCAATGATTTGCATGAAGCATGTACATTTTCATTCTCTTAAAAAAAATTGAGCTAAGGACCCAAGCAGCATGGGCTAAATCATCTAGTTGCATATAATTTCAAATAAGAGCTCTGATCATATAGGAGTGACATGTGTACAGTCCAGCAATTAGAAGTTGTAAAGACTGGCATGAAGGCTATACTTGTTTGCTTTCGAC